GATACACCTTGTAGGTTGAATTTTCAGGGTAAACAAGTCTTATCTGAGATGTTCTCTTGAGTTTTGACCAAATTCTCATAAAAATATGATGATTTTTTACCTTCCCATTTCGTAAATTGTCAAATTTAAAGCATTTTTCTTAAGACTTTTACAACACATTTGTAGATATCCGCTTAAAGAAGTTTTTAAAGACTCGTTAGTTTAAGACTCAAGACGGGAAAAGACTAGATTATCTTCAAATTTGTTATATATATATAATTTCCAATCAACGACAAGTGGAAATAACTTAAGCAAAAGGGCCGAAGTCACGTGGTGCAAATCATAAAAATAAAGTACCTAGGATTATGCAATATGCTACATCATTACCTTATATGATAAACAAAATATATTATATGGACAATTCGCCAAATACTTGATTTTTCAGTTGAGTATGCTTCGAACAAAATATATTCGGTACTGCCAATTCCGCAAAGTGGTGAAAGCTGTAGAGTATTATTTGCATGTTATACATATATTTCATTTCTGAATAAAAATGTGACCAGTTTTGTATCTGCAGAAAAAAAGAGATGAATGATATTTACCGAATTAACAAGAGAGGCGTAAGATACAAATGAAACTGAGATGTAAATAACGTTTTAAAGAACTGTTAAAAAACCCGCTGGTGGATAACCGCATGTCGGCCCTATCCGATATCACTTGGTCAATGTGTTATGGGTTATAAACCGTGTTGCGTTCGTACATTTGAACTATATGATAAGCAAAATAATACACAACTTATTCAATATTGGCCCGGTAATCATTCAAAGACTGTCCCATGTTAGTTCATGGCCCTTATCAATTGCCATTTATTAATATGTTTGTATAATTTTATATATACGTACATATAGAGAAGCTGTTCTACAATTCGAGTATCTTGTGTCATCTGTTTTGCGATGTTTTACAAATATAATAATATTAATGCATTTATTATTGGCGATTGTACAGGTTTTAAATCGGATTATCTTCTATTTGTAACAAGAACGAAAAAAAAAAAAAACCAATTACAGTCCTTGGATGGTGTAAACTTCCCACTAACACCATACACCATTACACCATTCACCATACACCATTACACCATACACCCTGTGCCATTACACCATACACGTTACACCTTTGCACCATACACCTTACACATAACACCATAATGCAATTTACTTTCAAAGAAAGCGTGCGACTACAAAATTTTTTATTTATTTTAAAAAACGAATTTTGATCACAATATTGTAAATTAATGTATAAAATTAAAAAACAGTTTTTATCAATATTTTGCATAGTTTTAAATGTCGTACACCATTCATTCACATCATTCCCGATAGCAAGTTACACCATTACACCATTCCCCTTACACCATACACCTTCTACCATTGCACCATATCCCATACACCATTACACCAGACACGTATTTTTGGGACGTCAACAGCATCTAAGGGCTGTAGGAATAACTAAAATGAAAACATAACAAATGTAATATATACACGTGATATGTAAGATACATAAGTTAGGTATGATATATTGCCATGGAAATAGATTTTTTTTTATTTAATTGGTGAAGTCTGTGTCTTCCAGACTTGTCATCTGTGTTTTCCATACTTGTCATAAATAGTGCTATAGTATCATTCGTAGCGCATTATAGAACGTGATTTTGTACATACAATGTTTATTTATATCCGCCCGTGAAAAACTTTGCAACGAGAAACAATCATTGCAGACGATAAAGCCTGTATAATGGATAATGCATATATGATACACACGCAGAACCTAATGACGAGGTAGGATATACACATATTGCAGCCATTTCAGATCATCGAAATTATGACGACTAACAACCAACAAGTTCAAATAAATTATTTATCTGTTATTGCTGATAATAAATGTCCAAAAAAATATTATGGATAGAAAAATAGTGCAGATTTAGTTATCATTCGTTCTCTAAAGAGACCCAAGGTTTAATCATTCCACTAGACGATTTGAAGAACACGTCAATTAGACAACAACATAGCTTTAATGTTTCATTAAAAATTTAACTACTTATGATAAAGTAGAAGTGAAATTTATAATTCAGCAAATAATACCAAACCTTAAAGAAAAGAATATTTGAAGGCCAGACTGTTACAATATATATCATAATGTCAAACATGGAGGTCTGGATAAGATTGGACACCATTTTCACAATATCGATTAAATAACGTCATCATCATTTTGGGGATTAATAAAGCAAATGCAACCGTGAAAGATATCGATATCATCACGATTGGTTGATGAAACACGATTTCCATTTGATTGTATTATATATACAAAAAAAAGTAAAATAGCAAAACTAATGAATCCCAAGGAAAATTCAAAACGGAAAGTCCTTTATCAAATGGCAAAATCAAAAGCTCAAAAGCATGAAACAAAAGGAAACAAACTATTCCCAACTTGGTACAGACATTTTTTTATGTAGAAAATGGTGGATTTTATAGCTAGCTAAACCTCTCAGTTGTATGACAGTCGCATAAATTTCTATTATATTGACAAAAATGTGTGAGCAAAACAAACAGACATAATAGGTAAAATTGTAAAAAATTACAGCAGTCAATTTTGTGTTATAATCTTAATCGCTATAAAAACACATTTTTTTTGTATAGCTAACTAAGTATATATATATATATATATATACACTATTCTTTCTTAATTGTCAATAGTATATCAGGTGTGTATTAAGTAAATCTTATTACATTTTCGCAAACCTTTGCATTTAACATTTCATACTTTCTTCTCTGGTCGCAACAGCCTTCCATGTCAATCAAATTAGTGTTTTCTCTTTCGCAATTATGATTGGTTTCTATTGTTTATTTATGTCTTATTTGTGTATAGCTCAATAAAAATAGAATAAAATCAACTGTGGTTATTTGGATGATAAGCATTGTTTTGAAGTTTTCCATGATATCAAAAATTGAAATCACATAATACTGAACTCCGCGTAAAATTCAAAACGGAAAGTTCCAATCAAAAGCTCAAACACATCAAACGAATGGATAGCAACTGTCATATTCCTGACTTGGTATAAGGTTTGTGACTTTTTAATACAATTTATGAAAACACAACAAAATAGTCTGCTCTATGGTCGGGTTGTTGTCTCTTTGACACATTCCCCATTTCCATTCTCAATTTTATGCATTTCGATCCAGCCTTAAACGTTTGAATTTTTATTGTAATTACCCCTTAAGGTATTACAGATGGTACCATAAGATGAATGTTATTTACTGAATCAACAAGAGAGGCGTAAGTTACCAAAGAAACCGAAATGTGAATAAACGTTTTAAAGAACTGTATGAAAGCACGCTGGTTGATAACTCCTTGTCAGCCCTATCTGATAACAAGTGGTCAGTCTGTTATAAGCCTGGTTGCGTTCGTACATTGGAAGTATATGAAAAATCAAAATAAAACACGACTATTTCAATATCGGCCTGGTTATCATTCAAAGGTAGCAATAAACAGTTAGCATTTGAAGCTGAAATTGGGTCTCTAAGTGCAGGAACATGGACAGGCATTTTGAAATGGATATTGCCATTTTAACATTAATACCCAAACATGTATACATATTTAGAATCCTATTTCTTAGCAGATTCCAAATCACTTACAAAAAGGATAAAACTAAATTACATAAGTTCAGTATCCATGGAAACATATGGTGTTATTTTTCTTATTTTTTCTTCAAAAATGGCTGCGAGACCCCCCATAACAGGCTTAAAAATATCTTTGAACCAGAATTTCAATGAATATCAGACATACATTGTTTCAACATTGATATATAGCCTTTTCAAAAAATGGAAAAAAAAAAGTGGGTGTCTTTCGTCTCATTTTCCCGCAAATTACCTTTCAAAAGTTCGTGCTAAATTCACATCTTTCCAAAACAGTCAACAAATGCTGATATAATTTCAGAGTCACTACTGGAATGGACATGAATATGAACCCGAAATTTGCCCTTCCTATGAACAAAACATGGTTCAATCTCTTCTCTGGAATCATACCTTTCCATTAAAACCACTTTCATAGCAACAATTTTCAATATTCTTAATTTTAACATACTTTTAACTTGGGTTTATCTTTTATAAAAAAAATCCACCGGGGCCAAAATGCGAAACTAACAATCCTAACTGTGTATTGCTACCTTAAAGAATAAATAAAATGTTTTTTTAAATTGAATCCTTTTATTTCTATTAAATTTACAATATTTCGAGTCAATTGGTCTCTTATTTGCCAAGATCGGATGAAAATAGCCAGAGCTATGACTTGATAAAGATAACATGCTATATAAGAAAATGGTGCAAGTTTTGCAGAGGAAAATGTGGTGTTTCAGGTAAAGGGTGACTAGTATGAAATTTGAAATAGAAGTCAATTTTTTCCAATTAAAGCATATTTATAGTATCTGGTAACTATGCTAAGTGTATGGAGAAAAAAAGGAAACAGTTTCAGGTGGAAAATGTTGTTGCTATGGGCAACAAAACAAAAAACAAAACAGAAAAAAAAAAAATTCTCCAAAATTCTGAATGATTTTACTATTTCTTAACACAAGATTTATTCAAAGAACACATTTCCTCCTTTTAAAGTATTATTTTTTTCTATTTGCTTGTTCCTAATAAAAGATTCATATCAGTTTGCAAGAAAAATTGTACCTTGATTTGAAAAAACTGCACTTTAAAGATTTAATGTCAAAGGGCAGATAATTCTTAAAATTCAATGAAAAAAACAATTTTTTGTATTGTTATTTTTAAGTTGTTCAGATAAGATAATTTGCAATGAAATTACACTCTACCTTTAAATAAAATATCTTGAAATATAGTGGTTAGTGTCTTTTAAAATTTATATTGTAATTATCTGCCCTTCCAATAATGATGACGTCTTAAAGGTAAAAGTGACGTCATAAATACTGGTTAGCAACATCAAAGTGTATAGTAACAAACTATCAACTAAAAAAAATGGTTGCAAAAAGAAAATCAACTAAACAAAAGGCTACATTTAAACAAGGAAACATACTTTGGAAGAAAGATAAGGATTCTGGATCAAAATCATCAGATGCAGACAGCAGTTCTTCTTCGTTAAATGGGATTGCTTACAATAATGATTCTTGTGCTTCATGTCATTCTTCTGATCTTCATCTTTCTTATTCTGCTGATCCTCATTCTTCTCACTCTACAGATATTCATTCTTCTGATTCCATTAGTATTTCAAGACCAGATAAGTCAATTTATGATGAAGCCCTCAACACAGAGGCAAAATGGGCTGGTTGTAAACCGAATGAAGCTTTGATACTTCCAACAAAGCTGAGACCCAAAAAAACAGGTAAACAAGCCAAATAACAGTAACTATGATGAAAACGAAAACATTATTGTCAATGTTAATAAAATTTCAAGTGCAATTGCTGGATTCACACCGCACTTTATTTTGAGAACTCGGTGTAAATCACCAGATCCTTCAGTGCAAGTTGTTGATAGAAACGGTATCTGTGTATCAATAACAGTATCATGTAGAAACTGTTCTTTTCGTTCTGTTTTGATTGAAATGTTCCACACGATTGAAAATACAAACATTCCTGGACCAAATCCTGGTGTTTTAAACGAAGCTTTAGCCATTCCAGTGATAAAGAAAAAATGTGGAAATTGACATAGTTTTTTTTTCTGTCTTGTCTGAACATTCAACCACCATCTCTGACTCTAATTCAACGTAAGGTTAGCAAGATCTGTGACAAAATGCTTTCATTAAATGAAAAGTCTATGGTTGAAAATCAGCTGTTTGTTAAAAATGTGGACGATATGCTGGGTCACGACCAATTTATTGATGTGGAAACAGATACATCATATAACAATAGGCCTCAAGCTGGTGGTGAAGCAGGTACGCAATCTTTTACTCCACTAGTTGAGTTAAATACTACAAAGAAGTTAACGATAGCTTTAGATGTAAAAAATAAATTATGTCGAAAAAGAAAATGTAGCCACATAAATGAAAATTGTAAAAAAAAATATTCTACCGAGGAGTCTATTTCTTCAAGTGAAGCTAAATCGGCCAAATCAAATCTACAAAAGGTAAATTCAGGGGGGATACTTAAAATAAATTCTGTCACCTGTGATGCAAGCGCTCAACTATCAAAAACCATAAGGGAAACTTCAGACAATTTTGGCTACACCATACGGCATTACACATGTTTTATTCACAAGATGCGCACCATTCAAAAAAAATGTTAAAAATTTGAAATTGACTCGCACTCCCGTTCATACAAACAGAGACATATTTTTACAAAGATTGGCTACTTGTGTTCGTGCAAGAGTGCGTTTGGAAATAGTGCGCATCAAGAAAAACTTTCCTTTTGAGGACACTTTTTGCGAAAAAGCGATGGCAGCAATAGAAAATAGTGTTTCATGTTTCAGTGGTAGGCATACAAATTGTAAAAGAAATTCAATGGTCTGCATCGCACATTTGGCTGCATACAATACAAATTTTTTGCCGTATGGGAGACACTTAGAATTTAGCACAGAAGACGAGCAGAAATTGAAAATTGCAATACAAAAGTCTCTATCTTTCGAAATCTTACAAAAACTTTCTCGTCTTCTAAATACAAATAAATCTGAGAGCTTACATCACAGGGTTTTTACTTAAGCCCCAAGAACACAGTATGGAGCAGAAATTTTTCGGCACTTTGTCACTCTGCAGTACATTCGGCTTCTATTGGCACAGGGAGATCTGCTCTATTAATTGCAAAACAAACTGGAATCAAATATACCAAATTTAATACATTCTTTAGGAACATGGTAAAACGGGATGACAGTGACCGTTACCATCTTCAGAGGAAAAAGACTCCTTGGTACAAAACAACACGCTTCATTAACAGTAAAAAAAAGTTTATGCGTACGCCTTTGCCAAATGAAATAAGCAGCTAATAAAAAAAATAATTAAAACTTTCCCTCTTACCAAATGTTTATCTATAAAATGCATTTTCTATAGCTTCTATGGCCAATACATTCTCCATTTCTTTTGCAATTATTTCTTGCTTCATTTATATTTTTAGTTTCATATGATAAATGTTCATATTTAATGCATAGCTTTGAATGACAAAGATGCGATACATGAAAAGCAGGACACAATTTATGTTGAACTTTTAAAAAATACAAAAGACGATGTACGAAAAACCGTTTTCGCTTCCCTCGAAAAACCATTCTTAAAGTGCCATATCCATCAGTTGATAAATTACCCCCACTCCATATATGGCAACCAGATTTCATTTCAAAATTGGTTAATTTTTTTTCTAACTTTAATCGTTCACGGACAGTTAATTGACATGTATAAATTTCTGACATGCTGGCTTTAAAGCTATACAAAGTACAAGTTATATTCTAGTCTGAAAGAAATTATAGTTATACTATTGTAAATAAAATTATATATTTATATTTATTTTATACTATTTTCTTTGCATTTAATAAAATTGCTTGCATACTGTGTTAAAATGAGTGTATCTACACCTCCACATCTGATGACGTCTAAAAACTGTTGCTTACCTCATAAAGACGTCACCACAATGAGCCTTAAAAAGTCATTCAAGAAGCAATTTAATGACATAGTACACAAAATGTCAGAAAAAAATAGTGATTTCATTTCGCATAAGCTGTATTTAACTGTTTTAGCCAATGTATTGGACCAAAACTGAATAATTTCATTTTTAAGAAGTTAACATTGGGCCATTAAATTTAACCATAAGGTAGCAATAAACAGTTAGCATTTGAAGCTGAAATTGGGTTTCTAAGTGCAGGAACATGGACAGGCATTTTGAAATGGATATTGCCATTTTAACATTAATACCCAAACATGTATACATATTTAGAATCCTATTTCTTAGCAGATTCCAAATCACTTACAAAAAGGATAAAACTAAATTACATAAGTTCAGTATCCATGGAAACATATGGTGTTATTTTTCTTATTTTTTCTTCAAAAATGGCTGCGAGACCCCCCATAACAGGCTTAAAAATATCTTTAAACCAGAATTTCAATGAATATCAGACATACATTGTTTCAACACTGATATATAGCCTTTTCAAAAAATGGAAAAAAAAGTGGGTGTCTTTTGTCTCATTTTCCCGCAAATTACCTTTCAAAAGTTCGTGCTAAATTCACATCTTTCCAAAACAGTCAACAAATGCTGATATAATTTCAGAGTCACTACTGGAATGGACATGAATATGAACCCGAAATTTGCACTTCCTATGAACAAAACATGGTTCAATCTCTTCTCTGGAATCATACCTTTCCATTAAAACCACTTTCGTAGCAACAATTTTCAATATTCTTAATTTTAACATACTTTTAACTTGGGTTTATCTTTTATAAAAAAAATCCACCGGGGCCAAAATGCGAAACTAACAATCCTAACTGTGTATTGCTACCAAAGACTTCCCGTGTCAGTCTGATGCGCTAACAAATTGCCAATTATTAATCTGTATGTATATTATTGTATATACGTATATATGGAGAAGCTGTTCTTCATTTCGATCGCTTGTGTTTTATCTTTTTTGCTCTGTTATACAAATATAAACTATGTTTAATGCATATGTAATTGGCGATTGCATAGGGTTAATATCCGATTATCACCTGCTTGTAACAACAGTGAAAGAAAATGTAATATGTGTATTTGTAATGGGTCAGACACGTAAGTAGGTATAAGATATATTGTCACGGAAATAAAAGTTGTCTTTTGTTTTGATTGGTGAACTGTGTGTTTTCCAGACTTGTCCTCACTAAACCTACTAAATAGTGCTTTAGTATTCTCCGTAGCGCATTATACAATGTGATTTTGTACATAAAATGTTAATTTATATCCGCCTGTGTAAACTTTGTAACGATAAACTGTCATTGTAGACAATAAAGCCTGTATAATGAACATTACAATGGAGAGCATATATGATACATACGCAGAACCTTTTGATGAGATAGGATATACAGGTCTTGCAACCATTTCAAATAATCATCGACACTATGACGTCTTACAACCAACAAGTTCAAATGAAAACTATTCATCTGTTATTGCTGATTACAAATGTCGAATAAAATTATGGATAGCGTTCACTTCTGTTACTATAATAGCATGTGCATTAGCAGCTGGATTAACGTACTTTGTAATACAATTTCGATACAAAACAAAAGTGCATAATCCTTCAAAAGTAATAGAAAATAATGGAAATGCAAACACAAGTTTCCGGATATCAGAAATTCGGACAGATTGTCCAAATGACTGGAAGAGATTTGGTATGTGGTGTTATAAAGAGTTTTCAGAACAGCGTACATGGTTCCAGGCTCGTGACTATTGTCGTAGTATTGGAACTGATCTTGCAAGTGTTCATAATGAAAGGGAAAGCAAATTTCTACACGATAGTTTTACGCAGAATTAAAAGTGGATAGGACTCAGCAATTTTCAAAACAATGGGAGGTATGTCTGGAGTGACGGAACGATTATGAATTATACTGATTGGGGAACATCAGAACCGAATAACATCAATGATAACGAAAACTGTGCAGAGACATACTATCGAACGTGGAATGACAACAATTGTTTTATGTCGTTCAGATTTATATGCAAAGTGCAAATTTATTTAAGATGTGGGCCTGGTGACTTTATATATTATAACAATTCTTGTTATTCAATTGATATATCACTGGCTAATTTTACTGAAGCTCGTAAACTTTGTAAGAACAATGATTCAGATTTAGTTATTATTCGTTCTAAAGAGGAATACAATTTTATAGTAAGTCACACTTCTAAGCAATCAGGTGCTGATTTTTGGATCGGATTACAGAAACTAAGGAATCGGTCATACAGATGGATAGATGGCAGTGGTGCGACTTACCTTCCGTGGCTTAAAGAACCAAAAGGAGATAATGATTTTTGTATTAAATCATCTTCCTTGCAGGGAACATGGTCTGGTGATAATTGCAGCAATACAAATCGTTTTATTTGTGAAAAACAATTACTTTGATATCCATTAACATTGACAACCCAGTAATGTTTTAAAAATATAAGTAGAAAACTGTTGTCGCTACACAATACCAGGAAACTTTAAGTATGTACATATGTATTTTTAAAACGTTATAAAATTGAATGTTAATTTTTCAGTTGTGGTTTACTTATTTTTATTTTAGATCAATTTAGGAAGTTCACGTTTAGTGACCACAATATGATACACTGGCAATACTAACATCTTTCATTCAGTACCAACACTATGCTTGTTTTACAACCATGAATTAAGCGTCAATGGCATAATTAGTCACTAAAAACAAAGTTTAAGAAATTATAGACATGATCACAAACCGTATATTGTAAATAAGTATTTTCGTTTTAAATTAAGTTTTGATAAATTTAAACTTTTTGTCTGATTTTTGAAAAAAAACGTTTTGTTATAATACTTAAAATAGCTCTCGCCGCGATATAGCTTTTTGTGCTGATGCGGCGTAAAGCAACCACCAATCAATCAGTCAATCAATCAATCAATCAACAAACCGTATATTTAGCTTTTAATGAACTCTCGATCCCAATAGCTATGAACAATTAAACTTAACACAAAATATGTGTATAACAACAATATATTCCTTAGAAATAAGAAGTAGATAACGGTTAATCTTCTTCGAATAAGGACTAACAACAATGTGGTAATGACAAAAAGACAAAAAACTACCCAAAAAAAAAAATTTACAAACATTACACCATAAATGGACCAATTATTTAGAGAAGGCTGGGTGAATATCAGTTCAATCCTATCACATTTCAATGTATTTGTCCAAAGTCAGGAATATTTTTTACGTTGGTTAAATGATTAGGACATCATGGTTTCTGTTAAATGTCTATTTTGGAATAAATTGTTTTGGTAAGAGTCTGTCAAGTTGACATATATAATCATATCTTTTTTTCCACATACATCTTCTTTCTTTTAAAATATATCAAAAATTTTGTAATACTTCTTTTGAAAAATCAAATCTTTGTAATGAATAGTAAATGGTTTTCTGGCTTATACTTGTATGTCATTCAACTATCTGCGAAAATAATAATTTAAAAAAAACCTGTTTCTTGAATTAAAAAAAGATGCAAAATTAAAAAAATATAGGGATTAGTTCTCTACCGATGTTCAAATCACATACATTGATGAAGAAGACAACATAAGGTAAAAACTGAAGGAATAGTATGAACCCAAAAAAAGGAGCGAGACATTGGAAGAGTCTCCTATTAGCATGCACCATCCGCCATTCAAATCCCGCTCAGTCCAATTGTCACAATTGGCAACAGAACACAAGCGATAAAATTTTATATTTAAAGATCTATGACTGAATTAGTTGAACCACAGAAATATCGTATCGGTCAATTAATTTGCGATGGTGACCGTAAAACGAGAATTATTGTATGCGGTTCTTCACAGCGTATACTTGTCATGACATACAATAAAAATATATATTTACGATTCCCATTTTTATGGCAAAAACCCTGTTAAATGAGACGATATATTTGATCTTTCATTTGAAGAATTGGAATAGTAGTGTGAAATTTCATCAAAGATACCAGGCTTACAATTTGGTACTGTAGACGCGTGTTTCGTCTACATAAGACCCATCAGTAACACTCGAATTAAAATAATAAAAAAGCAAAATCAAAAACAAATTGAAGTGCATCAAAAACGGAAAAAATCCAAAAAGTTGTGCCACAATATAGGTATGCCGATCTCCAAGGAAAATTCAAATTCAAAAGCTCAAACACATCAAACTAATAGAAAACAGCTGTCATATTCCTGACTTAGTACAGGCATTTCCTGATGTAGAAAATGGTGGATTAAAACTTGTTTTTTAGCTAACTAAACCTGCCACTTATATTTCCGAATTAGACTATTTACCGGATTTGTAATAACATAAGCAACTCGACGGGTGCCACATGTGGAGCAGGATCTGCTTACCCTTCCGGTGCACCTGAGATCACCCCCAGTTTTTGGTGGGGTTCGTGTTGCTTAGTCTTTAGTTTTCTATGTTGTGTCATCTGTACTATTATTTGTCTGATTGTCTTTTTATTTTTGGCCATGACGTTGTCAGTTTGTTTTCGATCTGTGGGTTTGGCTGTCCCTCTGGTGTCTTTCGTCCCTCTTTTATATTACAGTAGCATAAATTTCCATCATATTGACAACACTGTGTGAACAAAACAAACAGACATAAAAGATAAAAATGTCAAAATAGGGGTACAGTAGTCAACATTGTGTTATGATCTTAATCACTTAAAAAAAACCCAAATATGTCAACATAGAAAAACAAAATGGCATATGGACAAAGCACAAAAGCAGAAATGAAAGACACGAATACAAAAGTTGACCACAGCGCTATAACACAATGACGGGATGTATAAGTACCGAGCCACGCCAAAACGATATTACAAACAATGGACTAAACAGTAAAGGTATAGTTAACAAAGACAAATAAAAGAATACTATAACACGTAATTGAGATGATAAACAACGTCCGTACCTACAATGTAGAATCTATACTTCAAGACCATCATGTATTATCTGTGAAGTTGATACGGAATATTTATCAACAAGGCTTTGTGGTCGGGTTGTTGTCTCTTTGACACATTCCCCATTTCCATTCTCAATTTTATTTGGTATCTTCCGATGAACTTTTTTTGGAAAAAGGACGAGACGTTCTTTGACATAACCCAGGTTCATCAACTTTCTGTTCAGACACTGGTGACGTTTTATAAAGTCTGAGTAGCAGCTGCAAGCTCTTGAATACCGAATAAGTTGGAAATGTATAAATCATACTTATGAAGTCTTCTCCATTATGAAGTCTTATCATACTGGGGACAACACGTCTACCAAAAATGGCATCGACCAAGTGATTGTGAAAGAAAAAGATACCAGGCTTACAATCTGGTACGCCTGCCACGCGTTTTGTGTACATAAGATTCACCATTGGCGCTTAAACACAACAGTCAGAGAGCCATATATATAACAAAGTTGAAGAACTCCTATAACCATAAAAGTCTAATAAGTGGTGCAAAATATGGCAAAATATGGCTAAAGCAACCTATATCTTGGGTAGATTGAACTCAGCCACCGAGTAGAAGGTAAAGCGTAGAAAAATCACTACATTTGCAAAATTGTAAAGAATGTAATTGAACATATTGCAGTTGATCTTTGGAACAAGAATTTACATGTGAATGACAATGTTGGTTGAATCTACCTCATCACGTTACTAAAAGAGGACGATAGTAAGACCCGTTCATATCTTGTGTATATAACACACCCTGAGTAAAAGGTGTATCGTCGCATTCTACGATTTCACATCAGAAAATTATATCATTTAAGCAATTTGAAGGTATGCATCATTTAATATGAAAGACATTAATGAATCTAAATAAGAAAATAGCTAAATAATATTAATGAAATTATGAAAGTTTTTTTTTTATATTCATTTGATAAATACTGTTTTTTAAAGTTTCCTAACAAAGTATAAATAAATACATTTTATGAATGTTATTGATCTAAAATGCGAATGTAAAAGTGAAATAATGAACCTATTTTAGCGAGACAATAACATCACCGTTCTTGTTTTAATTACAATACATAGTCTTGCAGATCGGTGATAAAATTATGGGTTTGATGATAAAAGCACCAAATTTGGCATGGTAGTAGTTCTAGGTGATATATGACCTATGAAACCACATTGAAATTTCAAAATTTCGGCTATTTCCAAGATGGCCGCTATAAAATATCAGGATCAAGATATTTCACTTAAATAAGATCACATTTAAGGTCATATTTGGTATGGTAGTAGTGCTTTATGTTTCAAAATTTCTATATGGCGGCTTTTTCCAAGATGGCCACCACAAAATATCAAAATCAACAAATATCCCTTATAGAAGATTACAAAGTGTTTTGGTTTGAGGTACCTTCAGTAAAACAAAGTGCCCTGTTATACCAAATGTATCCCACTTTTATATACTAAACCCAAGCATCAAAAGATTTGTGAGAAAAGTATAGAAAATCGTAACTACGGTACCATTCTTGCAGAACAGTAGTCTACAACGAGGGATCACGTATAGACACTGTCGTTATACCAATATTTAATCTAAACTTAACTAGAATGTATACTTCTCGACTCAAACCGTTTACTTTGTGATTAACTGGAAGAGGACATAGTAATGGTCTACAAAAATGCAGTAAGCTCAGGCTTGCCAGGCCATTAACAAGGCAGGTGCTTACTTCTTCTGTTTAATGACTATTTTTGTGTGTTGCAATTAAACAAGCAACCGCAACAATCTATTTGTATGAAACAATACTTTAAAAGCTGCACATGCATGTATTTCAAAAAGACATGATGTAGTCAAAAGTCTTCTCCATAGTCATTAAAACATTAATTGATATTTTTTTGGCCAAATATTCAGATGAAGTCGAATTATTCCATTGAGGCAAATACGACGCTATCCATTTCAAAGTTACTTTTGTTTGTTTTCTCTATTCTTCTTTAATATTATATTCAACTGAACTAAAACCGTGTCTTAACGATATAGGCCGTCTTCTTCTAGGACCAGGCAGGAGGTACTAAATGACCAAATGTACATTTACGTTTGTCGTTTATGAATGATCAATTATTTTATCTACAGTACTAGAGGATTCCATCTATGAAACATTCAATATAGAATATGTGGTTTATCCCTTGAATCCTGGTGGTTTTACAACAGCAGCAGTGGACAATATTGCCAGCAACAAGAGTTCGGCTAAGGAATCTGTACATAGTACGACAATTTCAATATTTCAGCATTTTCTTAGTCTTACTTGGCAAATTCGTCATAAAAGAGGGACGAAAGATACCAGAGGGACAGTCAAACTCGTAGATCGAAAACAAACTGACAACGCCATGGCCAAAAATAAAAAGACAAACAGACAAATAATAGTACAGATGACTCAACATGGAAAACCAAAGACTAAGCAACACGAACCCCACCAAAAACTGGGGTGATCTCAGGTGCTCAGGAAGGGTAAGCAGATCCTGCTCCACATGTGGCACCCGTCGTGTTGCTTATGTTA